TCGAAAAACCTGAAAGATGCCGATTTCAGGGCATTGCTGTAGGAAAGCTAAATTCTGAAAAGCTGATTGTTACGATTCGGGTGGCCTAACATTTTTGTGATTCTGGAAGATTTTTTTTGCATCTCAAATTTACTAGAGCAGATTATGATAGCAGACGTTGTACGCATTAAGCTATGATCGTACATCCGCAATGAAACGCTTTCAAAGTTGTTGCTGTTGTAGTCAAATTTTTCCAAGTCTCCCTCACGGTATTAGTGATGGTTGGTCTTCCAGTCTTACGTTCCACCTACAGTTGGAGAAACTGTCAAGCAGTCTTGTAAAATTTAGGGTCTGTTTGGTAAATATTTGGTCTGACCAGTGTAAAACTTTTCTTCGGAAAGGTGGTAAGCATTTCCGGGGTATGCATAGGGTTCCTTTCGCTTTTTAGAAACAGCTTACCGCTTTGCCCATTTTCTGCATTTCGGTAATGGTGTTTTCGACAAAGCCCATTTCCGTTGTTGCTTCTCGTTTAGTAAATCGTCTTTGCCGTTTGTCGTCTTATGCACTAAAAATATGCCTCAGCGGTGGAAACAATCACTTTAGAAAACTTCAAGGTGATGCAAAATAATCATTTCAAGTGATTATTTGGCATAGGAATACAAACTTTTTTTTTTTTTTTTTTTTTACTATAGAATAACTGTTTAAGTGCAAAGATTTGCACCATTAAGTAACTTCAACTTTTGTATACTATATGGGTGCTAATAGGGCTTGTAGTTTTGCAAAAGTAAGCTTTGTCGACTAGATCCGCTAAATAATAAACTCTTCGTTACTTACTCCTTCAAAATTGTTATGCTGGTAATAGTTTTCATAATATACCACTGAGTTTTGCAACTGCCGAAGTGAATTGAGGAACTGAAGCATTTGAATGTTGCTACCCCCTACGATGGTCAGATACTTGAAGCGAGAAGTTAAATATCCAAATGAAACTAAAGTCTTGCTGTGTTAATAAGCTTCAGTAGTCTTCAGGCATTTCAGGAGCATCTTCGCGCATGTAAAGCATATCGTTTTGGGTTGTAAAAGTTACCGGAACGAAGTAAAAAATTGCTTGCTTGACATTTGAAGAATGTGGTGCGTAGTCTGCTCAGTAGTAATTGAACCCAATTATAAACGGTCTAGATTAAAAACAGCAGCTAAATACTGCATATCAGGACACACAATTGTGCTCCTGTATCCACTCTTTATTCTGACTTTTAGCTAGTGGTTTTTAACGGTTCAAAGGCAAGAAAGACAAGTCCTTTCAATTATTACGTACCACAGTCGTTACGACACGCCATAGCAGTTGATCAGCGCATATTTTAAATTAGGCAATAAAATGTGCGTGTCTGAAGTTCAAGCCAATTGCTGCAAAATGTGTCAAAACTGGATTCTTGTCATTATATGTGCCTGAAGTCAGAATTCAGTCGCTTTTACACCTCAGCCAGATCATTGAAGCCACCGACGGCTGAAAGATATTAAGCGAGTTGTGGTGAAGAGTTGGGAAATACAGGAAAAAATACGTTCAAAAGAACTTTGGAATTTATATTTTAAAGTGTGGCTGAAACTGTATTAAAATTCTGCGTTAAATCCTTGGTCTTTAAAGTTAGAGTAAGCAGCGACAACGTTGACCATTTTTGTTGCTGGTTTCTGTTGATTTTAGGTCAACTTTTTGACTGCAACAAAAATATTTGGGTAGAGAGTCTAAAACAGCACAGAGTAAAATAGTATTGTACTGATAGCGAAATATTTTTGATGCAGTCTGTTACAGCTTGTTGTACTTTGATTCACTGATGTTAATACTACTTCTATTATCAGTTTATTGAACAATTATCATTCTTTTCGTTTTCTCTTTGAGGAACGACACAATAGCCTAACGGTTGATTTCTTCAGTTTATCGCTAATTTGCATACATTATAAATTTTTTTAACAAGAACAAATCAATTTAAAATGTTGAGCTTCTTGCCGATGATCGGGTAAATGGTTGATCTCGTTTGGCTACACAATTTTTGCATTCACAGGATGAGTTTAACCAAAAAAGATTTTGCTGTTACAGAGTGCCAACTAGCTTTTGGTCTGGGCAGTCATTGACAACGTCCTGAGAAAAAAAAGATCATTGCAAGAGGATACTATAAGACAAAGTGAGTCATTGTTTTTTTATTGTTGTATTCATATCTGGGAGATTGATTTCTGATTCGGTTTGAAAGCAGTTGGTAAAGACGGATTCCTTTACTATAGCTTTTTAAGCTGCCCACTTTCTAACTGTTCAAATTTTGAAAGTTCGTTATAATATTGGCCTTCACTTAATCCCAAAATGCCTTCTTGTTCCCTAATTGTTTGTAAATTCACAAAGTTCTAGTAAAGTTAGCTTTATGCAAGTCTTTATAAGTCTTGGCACCGATATTTTTATGTTGGGTCTGCGTTTTTGTGAGACAAATTCGCTGATTTTCAGCTCAAGACTAAACGTTATTTTACAGATCTCTTGACGTATTTTAGACATGTTTAATTTTTTATTGTGGATCGAGATTGTGAGCAGTTTCAAAAGTAGTATACATCAGATGCACTTGCGAAAACGCGCAAAAAGATAGGTGTCTTGAGAGGCTTTTCCACACTTTTGATTTCCAGTCACTTCTGCCTCCTCCTCTGTCTTGAACAACGTGAAAGGGCTGTGGTTCAGACCAAATGATAATCCGCC